ACGCCCCCCTTCTCTTACTAAAAAAATCATATCGATCAAAAACTCCTGATATTTTCCCCCCCAAAAAAAATCAGTCCCCAAAAACTGCATAAAAACATCGAGATAAACCTCCGGCACGACTCCCCCACGAAAAACCCCCAGAAGTGGAGTATCTTATATATTTCCCTTCCAAAATATATAAAATAAAAATTTTATTGCAGCCTAAAAACCCGTTTGTTTTGGGAATCGACACACATGGAATATCAACAAGTAGATATGGAACGTCTGATCAGACAAGCCATAAAATCCCATCATTATTCAATATTTTTCCAATTGGATATAGAATTCTCTTCATTCCTCACAAAATTATAAAATCGACCGAATAATACCTAAAAATTGAATTCTTTTCACTCCTAACAAGATTATAAAATCCACTAAATATCCACAAATATTGAATCCTCTTCATTCCCATCAAGACCCCTTGAAACCCATCAATTACTCAATACTCTTCACATTTTTTTCATAAAAAACAGTCCCCTTGACATTTATCCTTCCTCATCCCTACCAATGCCCCCCAATTACCCCCCACCACTTCCAAACGACTTCAACCCCCCCTTCTCTTATTAAAAAAATCATATCAACCAAAAACTCCTGATATTTTCAGTCAAACAAAAATCAGTCTCCAAAAACTGCATAAAAACATCGAGATAAACCTCCTGCACGACTCCCTCACGAAAAACCCCCAGAAGTGGAGTATCTTCGGCATCAAGTCACCGTCCAGACAATCGAAACATTCACGTCTGCGCGTTGGCGCACGCCAATTAGATACAAAATATCCACAAAACTTCCCAAACTCCTCAGACAAGTAGATAATGTCCCCCTAAACAAAGCAATTGCCAACGTCTTTCCCGAGCCTGTTCCCCTCCACTGGAGTATAAACCCCCTGAAATTTTAATGACAAAAATTCCTAAAAAAGAACCAACTCCCCAGGGTCATAAGAAAATTATACGTTCAAAGAAGTAATTCAACTCGTACGACATTTTGTAACATAAAACAACATCGATTTATTCAACATAAATGCTTGCACGATATAGAGGTTTCTTTTCATAAGTATGATAATGATATCATTGTATTCACATACATACGGAATAAGGCACAATTTGATATTTTAATTAATTAATTCATTAATGCAGATGATCGTTTAACGATTCTGTAATTCCCACGCTTTCAATTATTCTCTTTATCTCCTCATCACTATCCTAGGCTTACGAAATGTAGAAAATGCCATACAATATGTACTCATAGTATTCTTAAATCTTCGTATATACACTGAGTATGTTTAATCGAAATATCTCGCTGGTTTGAGTACAATTAAAATGAATTTAATCTAAGAGTGACCTCCGAGCAAGCATTCCTGTAATTTATTAATACTCAAGAAGACGATATTTTCCATTAATTTCATTCTATCATTAAATCACACATCGTTCTTACACGTACCACTGTACGAAATACGTAATTCATGAAAAATGAATTGTCAGCATTTCTCGATAAACGTAAAATCTAATTAAGCACACGCTCCTTATCGTACGATATTTCTTATTTTTTTCATATGTTATTTCAGCTTTTACGTAACAATAGAAATGCTTTTTTGTTCTGAATATCGACTGCATCGATTTATATCTATTGGCACACTTGAAGAGTCAATTCATAAATTCGTAAATTGTCTTAATGATCTTCTCTAGTTCACTCGATGCAATCAAAGTTCATTTGTAGAAATTTTTCATTCAAATTGTTTCGACAGTTTTTTTTTTCCTACTGATAATTTTGATCCTAATTTATTCTTATCACTACGAAAACTGGCTTTAGGGTAGTTATGTTACACGAATGTACAGAATAATCGGAATGTTCCGAAAATTTCGTTAACGTTCATTAATTACGGTTAAACCTCTAAAAATGAAACAAAAATCTTCTTTAATTAACGAAAAAACATCGTTAACAGGGAATTCATTATTTTTGGAATGTTCAATCTTCTCGGGGGTTGTAATAATCGAAGAATGTGATAATGAGAAAGGTTTTTTAATTGGCAATGAATGGAATAAACGAAACGTCGAGTGACAGCAGAGTGGGAGACCAATTGCACATCAACAGCGTCTCTAATGCGTCAAATAGTTCTACAATAATAAAAGCTTAATTCTAGGTTGAACTCGGAAGAAATGCGTACAATTCAGGGTTTTTTTTATCGTCTGGGTATGTACAGTTGGTTTTAATGCAGTCGACGGTCCATTTGCTCATTCATTACGGTACATTTAGGGAATTGTGTTGCATTGGAAAGTTTATACACTGTGCAAATTTTTTGACTGAAATTTCCGGTTCAATTCTCAGAAATTTTTATTTTAGTGCTGTTTCATTGAGAATTTCAGAGAATTTCAATGTTGGGAGTCCGAAATGGTCGGAAATGTCAATGGAAAATGCAAATTGTAATTGAATCGGGTCATGGAAATTGACGGAAATCAGGAAAGTTCAGGTGAATATGTTATTTTAATTCGGAATTTCATTGAATTTTCAGTGAAACGTGACATTTAATTATCTTATTCTCTCCAAATTTAATTCAATGACACTGCTGAGAATTTCTATAAATTTAATGATGAACATTCTTAAAAAAAGAAATCTCTCCAGGGGCTTAAAAAACTGTTAACTCGAGAGTCGTTGAGCTTGGCTGATAAAATTTGAAATTTCACAGAAATGTCGATGGAAACTGTTAATTTCAGCTCAATTATTTGATGAAAATTAATAGAAATGAGGAAAGTTCAGGTAAATATATTTTTACATTCTCGTTTGATTGGAAATTCAGCGTGAATTAGAAGTGAATATTCATGTTTTAATTGAAAATTCCAATAATTTGGGAAATTCTTGTCATTCTATTCCTTAAGAATTAGGAATTTCATTGAATTTTCAGTAAAATGAGAAGTTTAATTATTTCATTCCCTCTAAATTGAATTCAATGTCACTCGGCTGAGAATTTCTATAAATTAACTGAAAATTTAAAGATGAACATTCTTTAAAAAATAAAATAATTGCTCAAAGTCGTAGAAAAAACTATAAACTCAAAGGAGTAATTGAATTCCACCGACAAAATTTTTCCGTTAAATTATTTCATGAAAATTAATAAACAGAATAACTGATTATTCCAATCAAAAATTCAAGATTGTATTCACTTCAAATTCAAAGAAAATAAAAATATTCATGCTCTGACTGAAAATTCACGTAATTTGAAAAATTTTCGTCTTTCTGCTGCTCAAAAGGTTAGAATTCTATTAAATTTTCAGTAAAATTTTAAATTTAATCATTTTCCTTCCTCTAAACTGAATGCAATGTGACTCTCTTGAGAATTTGGATAAATTAAATAAAAATTTAACGATGAACATGCTTCAAAAAGGAACAACTGTCCAAAGTCATAAGAAAAATTATAGACTCGAAGGAGAAATTCAACTCATCCGACAAAATTTGAATTTTTCCATAAACACAATGGCAACTATAAATTTTAAACTTGTAAACAGCCCAATTATCCCACGAAAATTAAAATAAATCAAGAAAGTTCGAATGAGTACACTCTTCAATTTTTCTTTATTTAAAATTTAAACGTAATTTCTTGCTGATTATCCATGCTTTGATTGAAAATTCAATGTAACTCTGAATTCAACATAACTCTCCTGCAAATTACTAGTCAACTGTAAAACCTTTCAGACTATCAATTCGAGAAGACTATCATTTAATATCTAATATAGGGCTCTGTTGCACCGATAATGTATCGGTTGGAATATATACATTATATATTTATTCGTATTCAATATGTGCGTTACTCCGATGAGCATTGGATAGATATGAAGTACTCTGAACTCTCGAGAAACAAAAGTCATGAGTCAGAATTTATTCAATCCATGAATAAATTGGAATGTTTCTCATGGATTTGACATTGAGTCTTGGTTCATGGGTAGATCTTGGGATTATATCCACAGTCTTGGAATTGATGGAGTACTTGATTCTGTGCTGGAGAATTTCCATCTCCTGGCAAGCAGTGAAATGTTATTTTCGTTCGTTCAAGTGGAACAATGCGATTGTTCCGTCGTCACTGAGAAAATACTTGTCATAAATTTTTTTTTAATTGTTTGACTGCTTTGGGGGTGATTCAATCCACGTGAATCCTCGCGCCTGCGTATCGGTGGTAGGTGATTCTCGACCTTGCGTCGGACGGGCGGCGATTGTACGTGGATTGGTGCCACTGCGACAGGTGATATCACATTTTTGAGGGATCGTAGTTCTCGAACGACCATTTCTGACGCTGCGATGAGTTTGAACATTCCTCCATCAGTAGACGTTGTTTACTTTCCGTTATGGAGAGGCATTTGTCACTGCTGCCGTGTCTTATTTGTTTTGTCTGTACAAAGAATGGAAATATTAGTTTTTTTTTTTTTTTGATGCAATTTCGAAACACTTGGATATGTTGAAATTAAAAATTGAAAATTGATTTTGATTGTTTCTGATTTTTGTTTTGATTGTAGTTTTTAAAATGTCGAGTAATAAATGGGAATTAAAGGTTTAAGTACGTTTCATCGTAAAATAAAACAAAGAAACTAAATTTTTATTTTTAATGCTTCAGGATTTTTAATTGTAAAATTAATTTTATAACTAATTTTTTAAATTAATTATTTAAAGTATTGGAAAAACTCAATTTTATAGAAATTTCATTAGTTTCGTTAATTTTTTATGGGATTATAAAAATAAATGAATGAAATATTGAGTAAGATATTACTTCGTTCTATTTTTTGAATTGAAGAAACTTAGGAAATTAATTTCGATTTTTCACATTTTGAAAAAAGGAAACATTGAAATTTTTAATTTTAATGGAAAGTCAATGAAATTCCAAATTTTTATGCAACTAGAGAACAAAAATTCTCTGATCGACTTGAATATTCAATTAAAATATGAATATTCAGTACCAAATTATGCAGAATTTCCGATTCATTGAGAATTCAAGAATATATTTGGTTTAATTTTCCTGATTTCTTTGAATTTTCATGGGATAATTGAACCGAAATTTTGAATGTCCATTAAAATTTCCCAGACGTGTCGGAAATTTCAGCCATAAATCTGGTATGTTGAAATTAAAAATTAAAAATTTGTTTTGTTTTTGATTTTTGTTTTGATTGTCTTTTTGAAAATTTCAAGTGAAACATGTGAATTAAAGGTTTAAGGACGTTTTATCGTAGAATAAAACTAAGAAACTGAAGTGATATTCTTCATGCATCACGATTTTTAATTGTAAAATTAATTTTATCAGTAAATATTTTAATTAATTATTTAAAGTATTGAAAAAACTCCATTTAATAGAAATTTCATTAGTTTCGTTAATTTTTAATGGGATTATAAAAATAAATGAATGAAATGGTGAGTAAGATATTACTTCGTTCTATTTTTTGAATTGAAGAAACTTAGGAAATTAATTTCGATTTTTCATATTTCGAAAAAAGGAAACGTTGAAATTTTAAATTTTATTGGGAATTCAATGAAATTCCAAATTTCAATGCATTTAGAGGACGAAAATTCCCTGATCGACTTGAATATTCAATTAATACATGAATATTCAGTACCAAATTGTGCAGAAATTTCGATTCATTGAGAATTCAAGAATATATTTGGTTCAATTTTCCTGATTTCTTTGAATTTTCATGGGATAATTGAACCGAAATTTAGAATGTTTATTAAAATTTTCAAGAAACGTCGGAAATTTCAGCCAAAAATCTTTAATAAAATACAATTGCATTCATTCCCTCATATTCATCTAAAATATTGTATTCCATTTTTCCAATATTAACACTCCGTTTTATTCCCGCAAAATAAAACAAATCGATAGCCAAAAAGTCAATTGAAAATCCAAAAATGCATTTATTAATTTTTTTTTATTCCTACAAAATTTCCTGAAATAATTGAACCAAAATTGACAGTTTCCAGCGATTTCCGCATAAAATTTAGATTTTTTAATTTCAAAACCCCTCCAAATTTCAGTGGAACTATAAGATCATAAAAATTTCGTCAAAGTATCTTATTCGATCAATTTAATTAAAAAAAAATTAATAAAAACAATCTTTAATAAAAAATATGCATTCAATGAAATTTAATTTTTCAATTTGACAAAAAATTGAATTAACTTTATCCCAACACATGATTCACATTATTTCACCATTTCATTTTATTCTCGCGTAACAAAACAAATTGATAGGTAAAAGAGGCTGAAGTAAAATGATTTGCGAGGGGATGCAAAGTAGATTGGGTTATTCGCAGCAGCCGATACATTAATATATTGCCACCATACGGTGGTATTTCACCGAGGCCCCCGGTAATTGAATGAATTATTAAATTCACGGATGATATTACCTGCGGATTATAATTCCATTGCTGATTCCCCTTGCTGCCATGGCACGGATAAAGAATAACGTCCGTTCCACTATAATCCAGGCACGACTCGTCTCTCCGTATCTCCCCAGTATTGCTCAGCATCCAGTACTAAATTATTCGAAGAGAGAGAGAAAGAGAGAGAGAAAGAGAGAGAGAGAGAGAGAGAGAGAGAGAGAGAGAGAGAGAGAGAGAGAGAGAGAGAGAGAGAGAGAGAGAGACAGAGAGAGAGACAGNGAGAGAGAGAGAGAGAGAGAGAGAGAGGGGAAAAATTTTGCAATCAGTTTAATTTCATTTAAATACCAAATGCATGTTTCACACGATGATTCTGGCAGTTGCAATCATTCCTCCACCCCGAATTATTTAAAACTATCGCGTGTTTGGTTTTAATTTCAACGCAATGCCAATATTCATGTTTTTTAGGGAATTCAATTCGATTATATTGCTAGAGAGACTGATTGGATTAACTGGCTGAGGGATTTTGGATTTAATGCAGGCGGAAATATCTTTGATGTGATTCCGATGCTGCAGGTGACTAATGAGCAACTGAAAGCCAATATGTTACATCTGTCCCTTTAATTACGAGCATTAGACGAGGTTTTCGATGTTAATGGGTTTGAAGCCGAATTGGGGCTTTATTCCCAGTTGATTATTGGGATGGGTGTCTGCCAGAATCATCTGATCATGTGAATAGTGTAATTATAATTATTTTAAGGCGACGTTGAAAATTTTCGAGGGAAATTTTCGATTAAGTTTTGGATGATTTTAACTTTGGATGAATTTTTTTGAGTTTAATAGTGAATTTAGAGTATTGGACATGTATTTTTGTGTGGTTTTGCATCAAACTTTTTATTTTTCATAATTTTTTTAATAAAGTTGATGCGTGATTCATATTTTTAGATGAAAAAATCCGGGAAATGATCAAAATTTTTTGGTTTTATTCAATTTTTATTGAGAATTGTGCAGTCGAATTGCAAATGATTTCCTTATTTTTTGAATGATTCGACGCAAATATTCAGTATATAATGGAAATAGTATATTTCGTATTTAACTCGTGTGATTGGTAGCCCTCGGCTCCGCCTCGGGCCGCCAACTTCACACTCGTTACCACTCCGTCGCACGTGTATCCGAACTATATTTTTGTTAGCAATGTTACGTTCAGCGAGTGCCGAACTGTGTCATTTTTCGTTTACTAGTAAGCGAAAAGTCTAAGCAGAAAGACTAAGTCTAAGTCTAAGTTTTTTCATCACGCTGTGACGAAAAGTGAACTTTTCGGCACGCTCCGCGTGCCTAAAAGTCCAATTTCCGCCACATTGTGATGAAAAATATTGTTCGTAACTCGTGAAAAAATGTTTTTTAGCTCGTGGGATTATATTAAACCTCCCACTCGCCAAAAAATACTTTTTTGCACTCGTTACGAAATATACTATTTTAATGGGGAAAAGTCGAGACTTGTAAACGAAAAGACTTTTCGTTTACTAGTAAACGAAAAGGCACTTTTCAACACACTGTCCGTAAAACGACGTACGGACACTTCGTGTCCCCCAAACGCCGTTTACGGACATTGTGAAGAAAAATTATGTTCGTCTCATGTTCTGACTCGTGTGATTGCATTCCTCGGCTTCGCCTCGGCCTGCAACTCTCACACTCGTCAGAAAAGTTTTTATGTCGCGCTGTGCAATAAGTCGAGTTGACATAAAATATTATAGAGCACTCGGTAATAAATTTCGTTTTCAACGAATGTGTAGTTTACAGGCCGAGCCGAAGGCGAGGTCTCTACACACATTCGTTGAAAACGAAATTTGTGCCCTTGTACTCTAATGTACTATTTTCGGCCTTGTGACGAAAATAGCTATTTCGACACGGGCTGAACGTAGCAGCAGTGACAAAATAGTATATTTCGTAACGAGTGCAAAAAAGTGTTTTTTGGCGAGTGGGAGGTTTATATCACGAGCCGAAGGCGAGTGATATAATCCCACGAGCTAAAAAACATTTTTTCACGAGTTACGAACAATATTTTTCATCACAATGTGGCGGAAATTGGACTTTTAGGCACGCGGTGCGTGCCGGAAAATACCTGGAAACGATTAAAATTTTGTTTTTTGTTGAACTTTTATAAAAAAATTCAATTGTCTTTCGAAAAATATTGAACGACGCAATTAAATTACAGATTTTCTTATTTTTTGAACAATTCGACGTAAATATTCAGTATTTCGTGGAAACTATTAATCACTATTAAATTCAAAGCATTAGACGTGTATTTTTATACAGTTTTGCGTCAAATTTTTTTATTTTTCATAATTTTTTGGATGGAAAATTCCTGGAAATACTTCATTTTCAAGTTTTTATTGAACTTTTATAGAGAATTATCAAGGAATACAGAGGACGTGATGCAATTTTATGATAATTCAGTGGAATTTTATTGATTTATTTGTAAAAATATAAATTTCTTCGCAAATACACACTTTCGTTTCTGAAAGATGTGAAAATTTCTATTCTGTTCCAAAAAATATTCAATTAGGCAATTAAATTGCGGAATATTTCCTCATTTTTAGAATGATTGTATATAAATATTCCGTATTTCATAGAAAATATTGATCAATGTTGAATTCAAAATAATAGACATGTATTTTTATATAGTTTTGTATAAAAAATATTCCATTCTACTCCGAAAAATATTCAATCATGCAATTAAAGCACAGTTTCTCCTATATATTGAATAACTCGACGTAAATATTCAGTATTTCATGAAAAATAATCATCCATTTTTTAATAAATCTCAGTAAAACCCCGAACATGCCAAAAATTCATCTTACATTTCGATCATCCAATATTGAGAAATTCAAAGGAAAATTTTCAACACTACAAATACGGAAATGAAATCGAAACTATTTAGCCCATATTTTTTTATTTTTACGACTACCGAAAAATTAATGAGTTTTTACAAAAAAGTCACCTTTTTCCATTAATTTTCAAAATAAAAAAAACGTGATAAATATTTCCGAATCATATTTCATAATTTTATTCAATAACAAGAATTCCATGCAACAACTAATGACAAAAAAAATGAAAATTACAGAGGAAAGTAGTTATTTTCTACATATCGCATGCTGGAATTAGAGATGAAGCGGTGGGAGACCAACGAAAAAGTGGAAGCAGTAGTGGCCATATTGTACTGAGCAACCGAAAAAAGGTATGAGGGGAAAAAAATTGATGGAACTCGTTTACAGTTGGAGGGAAAAAGCTTCAGTCAAAGGAAAAAGTTTTTTCGTATTTGCGGGTTGAGGAAAAATGTCACAGAGTCGGCTGTCAACTGGGAAATGAAGGCTTCTCTGTTGTATTTTTTGTTTCATGGGGACATATATTCCTAATCAAATGGAACGGTTTAAATACCTGAGGGTGGATGGGAGAATAAAATGGAAACATTGATCAGTGGGAAACGACAGCAGCTGTTGGTGAGATTGATTTTTTGATTCAATTGAAAATTCGGTTTAATTAATTGTCGCAATTTTAGCGATTGGTGCCTGTTGATTGGGACAAAAACAGCGGTGTCAGTTTCAGTGATTTTTTTTTAGTGGGGAAACTCATGGAAATTTAATTAATTATTCTGAGCGCCTCGGGATATGAATTTAAATTTCGACGTTCTTCAACGAAAACTATTGACCAGTTTTCAATGAATATCTCGAAATCTAAGGGAGATAGCAGAATTATTATCATGACGGTTTTTGTAGAGCGAATTAAGAGGTACGAAAAAGGTCATTACAAAAATTTCGCTGTCTCCCTTAGATTCGGAGATATTCATGAAAAACTTCGCTGAGGACTAAATCGACTGGAACACCATTTTACCATTTCGCTTCTGAATTCTGTTTAAAAAAATTTTTAGAGGGTGAACACTTGATGGGTTCCTCAACGATTCGAAATAAGTAATAGAATTATTGCAAAATGTTCGATAATTTAGGGTCACACAGGGTAGGATGGAAATTCTGTTGAATTATTTCTCATAATTCCGATGATTGATCCCTCGTGATTGGAATGAAAACAATGTTCGGGGTTTCATTAATAACTTTCGAGTGGAAACACCCACCAAAATGGTAATTAATTCATGGAAATGTGGGCGGTAATTATTCTGGATACCCTGAGGCATGAAGTTAAATTTCCTCGGTTTTTGTTCTCTTTTGAGTTTTTTAAACAGAGAGAATATTCTCTTCTGACAGTTTTTTTCAATGGTTTTTGCCGTGACATTTGTTTTAGTTGATCATTGGTGTCTCTTGATTGAGGCGAAAACAATGTTGTGGCTTTCGTTCATAACTTTTAACTGAAAACACTCACAAAAATGGTAATTAATTCATGGAAAGCTCGGTGGTAATTATTCTGAATACCCTGAGGCATGAATTTAAATTCCTTCAGTTTTTGCTTTCTTTTGGGTTTTTTTTCAGCGGAAGAAATATTCTGAAGGTTGAGTAAAAAGTTCTTTTTTTGGTTCATAATTTTTTTCAATTAGAAAATAATTTTTTTTTACTTGAAGGAGATTTTCAGTCAGCAAATTTGTCACTTAAATTGAATCAGGAAATTTTAGAAAATTTTATACTAGGTAATAAGAGTAATTAGAATGGCTTCTGGGACAAATTCAATTTTTTAAAATTCCCTTTTGATGAATAAATCATGAACATTGCGTCGCATTTTCATGAATCTCGCCTAACAAATAAAAGAGAATTGAATATCATTCTATGAAACATGAATAAACGAATCATAATTGTCCAAATCATTTAGGTCCGAGGAAAATAGAATAATTCAACTTTCTTAATAGTACGTTTACTAAGGTTTTCTTCGAACAAAGTTGATTAGAATTAATAGCTAGAATTATGAGATTATCTCACATTTTTGACGTTAAGGATAGGAGAATCTGAATACAATGTAGTGAAAATGATGATCGGTTTTTTCACTTTGAACAAATAATATTATTATCCAAATACAAAATTTCTGATATGAATAAAAAGAAGCTGTAACTCAATATTCCAAATGAAGTTTTAATTTTTAATTTGGTGCTGAAAACACGAGATGACAATATTCTAACCACGGAATCATATTGATGAGATGAACAACAGATTAAT